CATGTGGCTCGCGAGCCCCAGTTTGCCGACCATGGCCCAAGAGCATCACTGCTGGGTCCTCTGGGAAATGCATGTTTGCTTTTTGTTTTGTTTTGTTGTTTTTAAAGAAACTGCATATTTTATATCCCAACCAGCCATGTGTGAGTGATCTAGTTTTTCTACATCCTCACCGTTAACCCACCCCCTTTTTTAGACATTCTGATAGGTGTGTTGTGGTATTTCATTTCTCTAATGGCCAGTGACGATGAACACCGTGTCAGATGCTTATTTGCCATCCGTCTAGCCTCCTCAGCCAAACACCTGGCCATGCCCGACGCCTGTGCACTAAGGGGCTTGTTCTCTCTCCCGCTGTTGAGTGCCCGAACCTCTCCCTGCATGCGAGATCTACATCTCCGTGCTCCAGGTGAGCCTCTGTCCCATGTCTCCCCCACAACCCCACCCCCTAAGGCCGAAACCTCTCTCTTCATCCTCTTCCAGGATCTTTCACAAAACAGTGTGTTCCATTTCGATGAGGTGCGACTGGCCACCGTTTCCTTTACGGATCCGGCTTTTGGTCTCCAATCCAAGGTGGGATTTGAACTCGGGCCGCCTGGGCTTGGAGTCACCTTCTTCACCACAACCCTGCAGATACGGGTTCCTTCCTCGGGCCCATTCCTCTCCCCCGCTTCCCCCACCAAGACGCCATCATCTCGAAGCCAGGATGCATCCTTCCTTTCTCAACGTCTACTGTGTTTAGAGGTGAATATTTACAAGTGTTTATTGAGCAGCTACTATGTGCCAGATGCTCTGTGAGGGAGCAGTCGTGGATAAGACAAGACCCGCCACCATGGGGCTTGCAGGCTCATGGGGAGGCCCAGTGAATCCAAGAGTCTTGCAAAGGTGGCATCGCACTCTGATAGGGTGAGGGGAGGTCCAGGGTACGAGGAGGGGGCAGGGAGGCCTCCCGGGGAAGGGGCACGTCAGCCCAGACCTGAAGGAGGAGGAGGGGTGGCCAGAGGAGAGGGGCAGTTCGATTCCCGGTCAGGGCACATGTTGCGCCCCGTCCATGCCTTGCAGCGCCTCGTCCACGCTGTGTAGTGCCCTGTCCATGCATTCGTCCAGGCAATGGAGCGCCCCGTCCACGCCGTGCAGCGCCTCGTCCACGTCTTGCAGCGCCTTGTCCACGCGCCGTAGCACCTGGTTTACGTGGTTCCGCGCCTCGTCCACGCGGTATAGCGCCGGGTCCACGCGGTGTCGGGCCTCGTCCATGTGTTGTCGCACCTCGGCCACGTGTTGTAGCGCCTGGTCCAGGTGTTGTAGCGCCTCCGTCACCCGCTGCATCGCGAGGCTCCGTGAGGCCTCGGAGTCCTGGGGAGAGGGAAGGACAGGAGGCCAGGACCTTCAGGCAGCGTTTCCCAAACTTTTGACATATGTGCACCCCTTTTATAATTTCCGTAATGCTGAGTACCCCTCGTACTCGTGAGAACGCAGAATTAGGCGCAGCTAAGCACGGTGCAATGCATATCCCCACCAAACTCTTCCCGTGCCCCTGGGGGTACACGTACCACACTTTGGGAAACACTGCTCAGGGCTGGGGTGCCTGCGGAGCTTGCCCCCCGCGTTCATGAGATGTGCAGCCACGGGTGCACACAGATTGCCCGCGGGGCCAAGCCAGCCACAATCTGATTTTGGTCCCTCACTCCTCCCCCACGGTTTTTCAAAAACGTGAATGCTTCTTCAGTGTTCCCACCACTCCCCTTTGTATGAGTACACCAATTTTTAAACTTTTTAAAGTTAATTTCATAGAGGGAGACAGAGGGAGACAGAGAAACATCAATGATGATAGAGAATTGGCCTCAGCAAGGAGCTGATCTCCCCTGCCTCCCTCCCCCACTCAGCCTTCTTCCATCAGCAGCACCCTCCCAGGTCAAGGTTCACCTTGAACTCCTTTCTTTTTATTGCCCCCTCCTGGGGATGGAGCCTGCAACCTGAGCATGTGCCCTGATTAGGAATCGAACCATGACCTCCTGGTTCAGAGGTCCATGCTCAATCACAGAGCCACGCCAGCCAGGCTAGTACACCCATTTAAAAAAAATAATTAGCACATAAAAGTTTATTAAACATTCTATATATTGATATATTAAATTTATAGAATGATTTTTGGAGAATGACAGCATTAAAATGACGACTCTTGCCTAAACCATTTGGCTCAGTGGATAGAGCGTTGGCCTGTGGACTGAAGGGTCCCAGGTTTGATTCCTGTAAAGGGCACATGCCCGACTTGCAGGCTTGATCCCCAGTAGGGGACGTGCAGGAGGCAGCCATCAATAATTCTCTCTCATCATTGATGTTTCTCTCTCTCTCCCTCACCCTTTCCCTCCCTGCGGGCCCAGAAGGAGGTGAGCCCCCACTGTACTCCTTTTATTGAAATCAATAAAAATACACTGAGTGGCCAGATTATTATGTTATCTCTTTATATATATTAGAGGCCTGGTGCATGAATTCATGCACAGGCTGGGACAAGTGGAGGAGACATGGGCAGTTGGCTGGCCTGCCTGCTGGTCAAACTCCTGATGGAGGGGACAGTTTGCATATTAGCCTTTTATTCTATAGGATATACACTGAGTAGTCAGATTATTATGCATTCAGAGATCATCATCATCTGGCCCCTCAGTGTATATTTTTAAAAAAATAGAAAGAAAGAAGTTCAAGGTGAACCTAGGACTAAGAGCTGGGAGGGTGCTGCTGATGGACGAAGGCTGGGTGGGAGAGGGGGCAGGGGAGATCAGCTCCTTGCTGTGGCCAAGTTGAAATCAAAGACACCTATTAGACCTCCAGGAAGGGGTCCAGCAGGCAGCCCCATAGGGTCGGCTGTGTAGGGAGCAGGAGGGATACACGAACTCCATTCGGCAAGCCTTTCCCAGCCCCGGTCCAGGGCAAACGCTGCCATTTTCAGATTCTGAGTCTGCGGCTGGGGCCCTCAGTCACTCCACTGAACACAACGCAGGCCTGGGGCGGGCTTCCTTTGCTCCCCCTTTAAATATGCCATTTGCAGGCACCGGGGGCAAACGTTCATAGAGTCATTCCTTCCCACCCTGGCTCAAACCATTTCATTCATCTCAGCTGGATGCCAGCTGGGGTGGGAACCAAGGGCAGGTCAGAGCCCTGGGCTACTGGCCCAGCTCTGCTCTAACCAGCCCCGAGCCCTCAGGGGAGCCCTTAGCTCTTCCTGAGCCTCAGTGGTTTTCCTCTGTAAATGGGGGCAATGATCTCGCACCGTGAACAGGCTGTGGGAGCCAGGATCCGGGGCTTGGGAAGAGAATGAGCCATCCACTGCCTCCTGCCCTCCCGGCCACCCCGAGCCACTCACATAGGCAGCTTGTCTTGCAAGGCCCATCGGGGATATTTCTCCCAGGACACGGCCATTCTCCTGGCGATTGCTGGGCTCTCTTTCCACCTGGAGGGCTTCTGATGGAGGATGGTGCCACAGCGTGTTCCGTGTTCCCTGCTCCCAGAAGGCAGCCACCAAGCAGGCCCTGGTTGCCCAGGCAACCATCAACGCAACATTCCATTGCCCTGCCCAGGCCCTGGAAATCCAGCCCCTGAGGGAGAGGGAGGGGCTGCCGGGAGGGCAGCAGCCTGTGCCCCTTCCCGGGCTTTAACTCCAGGTCTAAACTGGGGTGCCAGAAGAGAGGACATGGGTCCCGTGGCCACGAGTGTACCCCTCTTGGTGACCCATGTCTGGCCTGGCCTCTTCCTGGCTGGGTGGGATGGGATCTTGCAGACGTGGCTCTGTGCTCAGATGTCTGCCCTGATTGGGCACCCACTGTTTGCCAGGTCTCGGGGGGGAGGGAAGGGGGGGCGTGTCACCTGCTCCCTGGCAGGTGCCGAGGGCCTACCGTGTTCCAGCGCTGTGAGGGCCCACTTCCTTCGCTGGGGATGGGGCTCCCCTGGCCACGTCTCACGGAGGGAGCCCCGGGCCCGGGGAGGGAGGTGAAGAGGACCAGCTGGAGACCAGCGTGGACGTGCCCCGTGATCAGGATTTGAAGGCTGGGGTGGGAGCAGCTGGCGTGGGTTAGGCGATGACTGTGGGTCAGCACAGGGCTCCGCCATTCACACAGCCGCACAGCTGGGAGAAGGACGTGTCAACAGCTGGCAGCACCCACTCCTGGCTCTGGAGCCCTCAGAACTCTCACAAAGTAGTGCGGTGTCGGGTGGTATTAGGGGAAAGTTCTCAGTAAAATGACAAACACCCATGGGTACGCCCTAGCCAGCTTGGCTCAGTGGATAGAACCTCGGCCTGCAAATTGAAGGGTCCCGGGTTCGATTCTGGTCAAGGGCACATGCCTGGATTGTGGGCTCGATCCGCAGTAGGGGGTGTGCAGGAGGCAGGCGACCAATGATTCTCATCATTGATGTTTCTACCTCTGTCTCCCTCTCCCTTTCTCTTTGAAATAAATATACATTAAAACACACACACACACAAACTCACATATCCTTCCCACTTTAAAATTGTGGAAGTGATACTTAGTTTAAAAAAAGAAATGTATTTTGTTATTGCAGGTAACACTATTTAAAAAGCTATAATTATAATGCCTGCATTGTTTAAAACAACTGCTAAGCATTGATGAGAGAGAGTCATCGATTAACTGCCTCTTGCACACCCCCTATTAGGGATGTGCCTGCAACCAACATACATGGCCTTGACCGGAATCGAACCTGGGACCTTTCAGTCTGCAGGCCAAAGCTCTATCCGCTGAGCCAAACCGGTTTCAGCTGGCACCCCAGTTTAGATGGGAAGGGCACAGGCTGCTGCCCTCCCGGCAGCCCCTCCCTCTCCCTCAGGGGCTGGATTTCCAGGGCCTGGGCAGGGCAATGGAATGTTGCGTTGATGGTTGCCTGGGCAACCAGGGCCTGCTTGGTGGCTGCCTTCTGGGAGCAGGGAACACGGAACACGCTGTGGCACCATCCTCCATCAGAAGCCCTCCAGGTGGAAAGAGAGCCCAGCAATCGCCAGGAGAATGGCCGTGTCCTGGGAGAAATATCCCCGACGGGCCTTGCAAGACAAGCTGCCTATGTGAGTGGCTCGGGGTGGCCGGGAGGGCAGGAGGCAGTGGATGGCTCATTCTCTCCCAAGCCCCGGATCCTGGCTCCCACAGCCTGTTCACGGTGCGAGATCATTGCCCCCATTTCACAGAGGAAAACCACTGAGGCTCAGGAAGAGCTAGGGGCTCCCCTGAGGGCTCGGGGCTGGTTAGAGCAGAGCTGGGCCAGTAGCCCAGGGCTCTGACCTGCCCTTGGTTCCCACCCCAGCTGGCATCCAGCTGAGATGAATGAAATGGTTTGAGCCAGGGTGGGAAGAAATGACTCTATAAACGTTTGCCCCCCGGTGCCTGCAAATGGCATATTTAAAGGGAGAGCAAAGGAAGCCCGCCCCAGGCCTGCGTTGTGTTCAGTGGAGTGACTGAGGGTCCCAGCCGCAGTCTCAGAATCTGAAAATGGCAGCGTTTGCCCTGGACCAGGGCTGGGACTTGCCAAATGGAGTTCGTGTATCCCTCCTGCTCGCTACACAGCTGACCCTATGGGGCTGCCTGCTGGACCCCTTCCTGGAGGTCTAACAGGTGTCTTTGATTTCAACTTGGCCACAGCAAGGAGCTGATCTCCCCTGCCCCCTCTCCCACCCAGCCTTCGTCCATCAGCAGCACCTTCCCAGCTCTTAGTCCTAGGTTCACCTTGAACTTCTTTCTTTCTATTTTTTTAAGATTTTTTTTATAGATTTCAATAAAAGGACTACACTGGGGGCTCACCTCCTTCTGTGCCTGCAGGGAGGGAAAAGGGAAGGAGAGAGAGAGAGAGAGAGAGAGAGAGAGAGAGAGACACCAACGATGAGAAAGACTCATTGATCTGCTGCCTCCTGCACTCCCCCCCCCCCCCCCCCCGCTGCTACTGGGGATCGAGCCTGCAACGTGGGCATGTGCCCTTGACAGGAATCGAACCTGGGACCCTTCAGTCCACAGGCCAAGGATCTATCACATGAGCCAAACTGTGGCTTGCAAGCCACAGGATGCTCTTTGGCCTCTTGAGTGTTCTAACGCACTTAGGCCAAAAAACCGACTTCTGTGCATGGGCTATGAAGTTTCAATCACACTGTATGTGCACGCCCACACGTGGTATTTTGTGAAAGAGCCACACTCAAGGGGCCAGAGAGCCTCATGTGGCTCATGAGCCGCGGTTTGCCGACTACAGGGCTTGGGCATGGACTCCTTTCTCACCTCCCACATCGCTCCATCAGCTCAGCTCTCCAACTGCATCCAGAACGGACCCCTCCTCCCCTCTGCACTACATCCACCCGATCAGAACCACATCATGTCACCTGGTCCCTGGTCTCCTGCAGCTCTCCTGCCTCTTATATTGCTTTTGTCCCCCACAGCGGCCAGGGGGACCCCTCCTCCGCTCAGAACCCCCCCCTGCTGCCCACCTCACTCACAGTCAAGGCCAAAGTCCTCCCTCACCATCCTCTGGCCCCCACAACTTCTCTGATTGTAATTCCCATCTCTCACCTCCCTTCCATCCTCCCCTTCCCTCACCAAGGTCCTGGCCCCAGGGACTGGGCAGTGGCTGTCCCTCGGCCTAGAACCTGTCCCCTTCTACCTATGCTCAGCTGTCACTCCTTAGAGAGACTCCTTGGCCTCCGCATTGAAGGATTTGGCACCTTGGCACCTACCATGCCATGCCATTACTACTTCTTCGTTGTTAGCTTTATCTCCTGTGTGTATGCCCCTCCCCCCGGGATGCCAGCTCCCCCAGGGCCGCTTTCTATCTGTCTGTCTTGTCCCCAGCGGGGGCCCCAGTGCCCTCATGGTGCTGGGCATTTGCTAGGTGCTCAGTACAATTCCTTGAATGAATAAAGAATTCCAGCTGAGCCGGGACCGGTTTGGTTCAGTGGATAGAGTGTCGGCCTGCGGATTGAAGGGTCCCAGGTTCACTTCCAGTCAAGGCCATGTACCTTGGTTGCAGGCACATCTCCAGTAGGGGGTGTGCAGGAGGCAGCTGACCGATGTTTCTCTCTCATTGATGTTTCTAGCTCTCTATCCCTCTCCCTTCTTCTCTGTAAAAAAAAAAAAAATCAATAAAATAAAATAAAAAATCCCACAGCCAGCAGGTGGCTATTGGGGGCATTTCGGGCCCTAGGGGGGAGTTTGAGGGCCCTGAACTCCCACCTCATTCGTGAGCCACTCCAGGAAGATCCCGGAGCAGAACCCCAGCCGCTCCCTGCCGGTGCTGTGTCTCCTGCAGAAGAGGCAGGAGCTGATGGATGTGGACCATGGCCTGTGGGCCCAGAAGGAGGTGAGCCCCGCTGTAGTCCTGAGACCAAAAGAAATGGTGATGAGCAGGGGAATGGGAAATCCAGGAGCCAACTTATTAGCTCCAAGGGCTGAGACAGGTCGTGTCACCACTCTAAGCCTTGGTTTCCTCACCTGTCAAATGGGGATCAAAGGAGATCTGTTGTTGGTACAAGTTAATGTGCGCTGAGCACCTATGTGCAGGTGGTCGCTGGGATCTAGGGGTGTCACCATGGCCGCTGTCCTCAGGGGCCTCACAGTCTAGAGAAGGTACCGACCGTGTCCAGCTGGTGACTGCTAGGAGGGGACGCATCAAGAAGGGCTGTAAGAGCCCAGAGAAAGCCCCCATTTCCACATGTGGCTGATCATGGAGGGCTTCCTGGAGGAAGCGGTGTCTTAGGGATTGCTGAAGGGCACGTTGGCTTATCCATCCGAGGGGGACAGTGTGGGAAGGAAGAACCAAAGAGGAAACAGCATCTACAAAGACTGGAAGGCCAGGACGAAGCACAGGTGGCCACGTGGCCGGAAGACAGAGTGTCAGAGGGGAGGGGTGAGGTGAGCCCTGAGGGAGGGCAGGGACAGGGACATGGACATTCGGGAGCTGCAGGAGGGCACCTGGGCTTCCTTGTGGCTGGCAGAGCTGTGGGTGGACTTGAGGAGGGGTGCAGCGACCCAATCAGGGACCCCAGGTGAGAGGAGGTAAGTGTGAGCTTAAAGGAGCTGAGTTGAACCCCCAATCACACACACACACACACACACACACCCTTGTTTACACCCCAGGAGTTCCAGACCAGGATGGTGGTCCTGATGCAGCGCCGGGAGCAGTTGGAACAGAAGAAGCAGGAGCTGAAGGGGGCGTTCCTTCGCTTTGACAAGTTCTTGCAGGTGGGTGGGGCCTGCCAGGGATGCAGGTCACAGGGTCACAAAGTCACCATCCTGAGGGGCCAGGCATGTCACAGAAATGTTTTAAAATTGGTGTACTCCTTTTGGCTAAATCCAAATTCATGAATAAGAGTCATCATTATATATATATATATATATATATATATATATATATATATATATATATATTTGATTTTTTACAGAGAGGAAGAGAGAGGGCTAGAGAGTTAGAAACATCTATGAGAGAGAATCATCGATAAGCTGCCTCTTGCACACCCCTTACTGGGGATGTGCCCGCAACCAAGGTACTTGCCCTTGACCGGAATCAAACCTGGGACTGAGCCAAACCGGTTTCGGCAAGAGTCGTCATTTTAATGCTGCCAATTCTCCAAAAACCATTCTATAAATTTAATACATCGATAAAATGTTTAATAAACTTTTATGTGCTAATTATTTTTTTTTTAATGGGTGTACCAGCCCTACTGGCGTGGCTCTGTGATTGGCATGGACCTCTGAACCAGGAGGTCATGGTTCGATTCCTAGTCAGGGCACATGCTCAGGTTGCAGGCTCCATCCCCAGGAGGGGGCAATAAAAAGAAAGGAGTTTGAACTGGGAGGGTGCTGCTGATGGAAGAAGGCTGGGTGGGGGAAGGGGATAGGGGAGATCATCAGCTCCTTGCTGAGGCCAATTCTCTCTCATCATTGATGTTTCTCTCTCTCCCTCTGCCTGCCTCTCTGAAATTAACTTTAAAAAATTTAAAAATTGGTGTAACTCATCCAAAGGGGAGTGGTTGGGAAACTGAAGAAGCATTCACGTTTTTGAAAAACCGTGGGGGAGGAGTGAGGGACCAAAATCAGATTGTGGCTGCGTTGGGCCCGTGGGCCACCTGTATGCACCCGTGGCTGCACATCTCATTCATGCGGGGGCGGGCGGAGGGGGCGAGCTCCGCAGGCGCCCCAGCCCTGAAGGTCCCGGCCTCCCGTCCATCCCTCTCCCCAGGACGCCGAGGCCCGACGGAGCCGCGCAGCGCGGAGGGCGGCGGAGGCGCGGCACGGCGCGGGCCGCCAGGAGGCCGAGGCGCAGCGGCTGCGGGCGCAGCTGGAGGCTCTGCGGCGGGAGCGCGCGCGGCTGCGGCGCCGGCTGGAGCGCCTGTGGCCGGGCGCGCGCCTGCTGGAGCGGGTGCTGGGGCAGCTGCCGGAGGTGAGGGCCCCGCGGGAGGTCTGGGGCTCAGAGCCATCGTGTGCAGCGCGGTGGGGCCTCAGGGGCGCCAACTGTATGCCAGGAATCTGCACTTACTGAACACCGACTGTATGCCTGCCGGGGGCACGCTTTGTGCTGGAATCCTCCCCAAGGCCCAGCGAAGTGGGTCCTGTTATTGTCAGCCCCATGTTACAGATGGGTAAACCGAGATTCAGAAAGGACACCCCGGCTGAAACCGGTTTGGCTCAGGGGATAGAGCGTCAGCCTGTGGACTAAAAGGTCCCGGGTTCGATTCCGGTCAAGGGCGTGTACATTGGTTGCGGGCACCTCCCCAGTAGGGGGTGTGCAGGAGGCAGCTGATCGATGGTTCTCTCTCATCGATGTTTCTAACTCTCTGTCCCTCTCCCTTCCTCTCTGTAAAAAATCAATAAAAATATTTTTAAAAGAAAGAAAGGACACCCGGGCAGGCGGGGGAGGGGGCGGACCCAGGTGCTCAGAATGGATATTGGCCGCAGGCAGGGAGCTTAGCCAGGCTTAATGGAGGGCGGAGCAACCTCCGCTTAAGGGGCAGCGGCTGTGGGACGCCCCCATGTCACAGGTGGACTGGGGAGGCGCAGTGGTTTGGGGAGAGCCGGGGCTGCAGGCCCGATGAACCCCCTCCGGGCCCCGTTCCAGTTCCAGGAGGTGCCCGAGCTGGTGGCGCGCTTCGGCGCCCTGGCGGACACGCTGGCGGCGCTGCGGCTGCGGGAGCGCGGGCTGCGGGCGGAGCTGGAGGAGGCGCGCGCGCGGCTGCGGCGGCTGCGGGACGCCCGGCGGGACGAGCTGCTCCGGCGGGGCCAGCAGCGCGCGCAGCTGCTGGGGCGCCTGGAGGCGGCGCGGGAGCGCGCGCTGCACTGGGTACGGCCCGGGACGCAGGGACCCCCGCCTCCCCACCGGGACCCCCTCTCCCCGCCTGGACCCTCTCCCCACGCCGGGACCCTCGCCTCCCCCAGCGGGGTAGAGCGCCGGGGGGGGGGGGGGGATAAGAGCAGGTGGGGCGATGCTTAGGGCAGCGGAACGGATGCTGCGCAGGTTTGGCATCAGAAAGCACTTTAGGGCGGGACGCCTCTGGGTACCTGACCCTGCACCTGTCCTCCTCTTCCCGGGAGCGCTCCCGGGTGGGTGGCTGGCGGGAAGACACTGGCCGCCGGGCCCAGCCCTCCTGCAGCCATCACACCTGAACGTCCTCCAGGAATCCCAGTGGGCTCAGATCCAGAACACGGCGGCCGAGAAGACGCTGCTCTTGGGCCGCGTGAGGATGGCGGCGCTCAACCTGTACCAGTTAGTGTGCCAGCACCAGAGGCAGCCGCCTGCCCTGGCCATGGAGGACACCGAGGGGCAGCTGGAGCAGGTGAGGGCCCTGCTGTCACCTCCAGACCCTCCCCTTCGGCACATCACCTCCTGAAGCCCCGCCTCTCAGGGTTAAGCTTGGCACTCTGTGACCAGAGGCACCACAGATAGGGCTCCGTGCCCCCAGGTGGGTGCCCCCAGGTTCTGACAGTCACCTGCCAGGTGGCCAGGTGGCCCCTTGGGTGTCAGTGTCCTGCTTAGGTGGGAGGGCCAGGGTGCAGGGTGACGGACTCCATACATTTATTTATGCTAAGAGTCAGACACGTGACATCAGTAAAAGCCAGGAGATGGAGACTTACTTTTTAAAAGTATTTTTTTTTTTTTTTGCTTTCAAAGAGGAAGGGGAAGGGAGAGATAAAAACATCAGTGATGAAAATCATTCATCGGCTGTGGGGATCGGCAACCTGGGGATGTGCCCTGCCTGGGAATCAAACCACCGTGACCTCCCGATTCAGAGGCTGATGCTCAACCATTGAGCCACACCAGCCAGGCGAGGTTCACTTGGCACTCATCGGACGGGCCTTGCTTCCCTGTGGAGGGCGAGGGTGGGGTGAGCAGTGGTCTCTGCACCGGGGCCTCACAGGGGTCACGGTGGACCGGGATACCGTTTTTCTATCAGGTTTGCAAAGTTGACAGCCATAGGAGGGGCTTCTGACTTTGGAGACATTGTTTCTGGGGGTTCCCAAAGCATGACCCCCTTGAGGAGCGGGGGAAACAGAGGCACTCTCTTCCCCACCCCACCCCTGCCCTGCCCCCAATGGCCAGGTTTCCAACAAAATGGCAAGAACTGGGGCCCCGGGGCCCACTTTGTGTCACGTCCTGTATTGGGTGGGTTTTTGTGAGCCACTGCTCTCCCTGATGTGGCTCGGATTCCGAGGTCCACACCCAAGTGACGCTAGGAGGGACAGAGGCTCAGCATGCAGTGCCAGCAAAAGCCGGTCCCTTTTCTTTCTTTTTCTCTCTCTCTCTCTCTCTCTCTCTCTCTCTCTCTCTATATATATATATATATATATATATATATATATATATATATATATATATTACAGAGAGGAAGAGAGAGGGATAGAGAGTTAGAAACATCGATGAGAGAGAATCATCAATCAGCTGCCTTTTGCACACCTCCTACTGGGGATGTGCCCGCAACCAAGGTACATGCCCTTCACTGGAATCAATCCGGGACCTTTCAGTCCACAGGCCGATGCTCTATCCACTGAGCCAAACCGCTTTTGGCATAAAGCCGGTCCCTTTTCAACCAACTCGGGGCCACTAGGCCTTCACTCCCTGGTGGGGGGCCTAGGGCTCACCCGGTCAGCCACAGCAACTGGCCAAACTTGGTAACAGTTTTGTTTTCATTGGAGCTGTTTTTCCTTACTCCTACTTAAAGGGGGACTTAACCTTCCCCATCTTTGCTGGACTAGAGTTTCCTCCTCAGACGTTGGTTTCAGGGGAGCAGGTGCAGGGAGCGCCCAAGGGAAGGTCCGCATGGGGCCCGGCTCCGGGCGTTGGGGCCAGGCAGAGCTCATTAAGTCGTGTCAGTAAGTGAATTAACTCAGAGCAGAGGAGGGCCGCCCACAGGGAAAGCAGGCCAGACGCCAACCAGTATGACTGATCCGATTAAAGGGGGGAAATAAATGGATGGAAGTGAGAATGTGGATTTAATTATAATGCAGGTGGTAGCCCACTGTGAAGGCATCTGCTAAGGAGTCGTTTGGGGAGATGACTGGGCCTTTAAGAACCGGGACCCACCCATGTCGCTGTCTTTCAAAGAGTCTCAACCCTGCCCCCACCCAATCCAACCCCGGTGTGCAGCATGGAGGGCGGGCTCGGGGCACGGGCTGGGATGTGACTGGCTTGCTGGGGACCCGCAGGTGAAGCTGTTCCTCCTGGACCGCTCTGCCTTGCTGGCCAGCCTCCCCCGGAGTGAGCCCGAGACCCTGTAAGCCTAGTCCAACCCTGGTGAGTAGTGGCCCCCCCCCCAGGGGCTTCTCCTCCCAGGGAGAAGGTGCACATTTCCTGTGGGTGGGGCAGAATGGGTCTCCCCTGGAGCCGGGAGGGCCGTGCCCACTCGGATGGCGGTGGGACGTGAGGGGCACACAGCAAGCATTCAGAACACGTGGCCGACGGGGAGCACCCACCCACACTCAGCACCTGGCCTGGGGCCGGGTTCTTCCTTCAGGGCTGTTGGGGGCATTAAACAAGCAGGTTTTGTCAGGTGCAGGTCACGGGGCCAGGTGCAAATGCTGGTAAATTTCAGGCGTGTTGGGTTAAGTCAAGTAAAATCAATAGGACCAGCAAGAGGGTCTCAGGAGCCGAAACCCACTCCCAGGACACCTGCTCCCAAGGCCCCTCCCCCGGCTTGATATGCTGCAGGGCCCAGGAGCACAGGCTTCGGGCAGGACAGGCCTGGCCAGGCACTTCCCGCTTGGTGTGTAGAGGGGCAGGGTTAACCCCTGCACAGCCAGAGCAGCAGCTGTGCCCCTGCCCAGGCCCTGCATCCTGTTGTGTCATCCCCCTACCCCCCCCCCCCAAATCCACTGCGAGGCTGCCCAGCAGGAGGAAGGGGACTGACAGTCAGCTTTGGGGTCCCCCAACCTTAGGCAACTGACTCATCCTCTGAGCCTCATTTTCCTCATCTGCAAACTGGGGACATCCACTGTACCTAACCTCGGGGGATCCCACGGGACTTGTCCACATGCCCTCAACTCGCTAGCTGGGATTTCAATGCCTGGGTCTGTCCCTTCCAACTCAGAGAGTGGACTGCACTCCTGACCCGCCAGAGGTGCTCAAGAAAGCTTTATTTCCTTAAAAATACATCACTTTGCCTTCGGCACTCACGGCTCAGACCTGTGGGACCACCGCCTCTGAACCCAGAGCACACGGAAGCAGCAGGGGCCGAGTTGCCAATTCAGGGCGCAAACTCCTATGCACCCTTCAAAACCTTGCTCAAATGTCCCTGTCTCAAGCAGAGACAGCTGCTGCCCCTCCGTGGCCATACAGCCCTCCTTCTCGTGGGCAACGGCTCTGCAGGGAGCTCCCCAAACGCCCTGCACGGGGCCAGGCACATAGCGGCACAGTTGGAGCACGTGAGGGGCCGGGGGCTGGGTCATCTCCGTTACATCCTCTTCCTCATCTTGCCCTTCTTGGCGTGCGTGCCCCGGCCGAAGGCGCCCCGCTGCAGCTCCCGGGCGTGGCGCCGGTTGCGGGCCGAGAGCTGCTTGAGGCCCCCGCTCTGCAGGAAGCGCATCTTCTGGGCTCGGCGCCTCTGCTTCAGGATCTGCTGCTTGGTCTTGAGCTCGGAGCGCACACGGCCTGCAGGGGGTCCCGGGGGGCGCGGCTGGGAGGCACCTGCCAGGACAAGGATCCAGGGAGCTCAGCCTCTGGGTTGATTCCCAATGTCTCCCCCTCCCAGAAGCCTCCAGGCTGCTCCCCTGCCCCCCCATCCCATCCTGTGATCACTGCTGTGGCCCCAGCCTCGGGCACATAGTAGGTGCTTAACAAGGCTTACGCAGTCTGCAGTTTAGGTCTGGAACCTCAAGCCAGGCCGGGGTTCAAATCCCAGCTGTGACCCCGAGACCCGGGCAAGTCTCTTCTCTGTGACTCTGTTTCCCCCTCTGTAAATTATGAATAGCACCTCCCTCCCTCATGAAACGAGTCAACGATTTAATGTGTGCAGTGCTCGGAACCAGGCCTCGCCCTTAGTGAGGGCCTCCTGGCCATGTAATTGTTTTAATAAAATCAATTAATTGATTATTAATACTCATCAAAGCTTGACGAAGCGCCTCTCTGTGCCAGGCACTGGGGACCGCAGTGACTGAGAGCCAGGATATAGAGCCAGGCTCCCCTCTCCCCAGGGGAGTGGCAGGCAGCTGGGGAGCCCCGGGCCAGTCACTGCCCCTGACCCACTTCAGCGTCCCTGCCTGGAAGGCGGGCATTCTGTCTTCGCGCCCCGGGCCCTGCGTGGCGAGTGTCTGGCAGAGCCTGTCTCCACACGGCAGGCGGAGCCCTCTCTGACCGAAAGCTTGGGGGACGGGACAGGCTTGCCCCTCCTTCAGAGCACATCGGAGCCCCGAGGGGCAGCCCCAGGTCCCGGCACGCAGGGCGGCTGGCCCAGGGTGCCGTCATGGAGCGCGGGCTCTGGCAGACGGCGCGGTAGGAAGTCCCTCTGCCTGTCACCGGCTGAGGGATCGGAGGACCACGTTCCCAGGGGACCAGGTGGACCAGCTGGCAATGTGTGCGCTGAGGAGCATCCTACCTTGGCCTCGGCCCCGCTTCCAGCCTCTCCGCTCCGGGCCTCGCCGGTCCGAGGCCCCTTCCTCCTCGGAGTCGCGGTCGTCGATTTTCTGTTTCTGCTTCCACTTCTGATAGCTGGGAGGCGTGTTAAGGAGGCGGCGGGTGGATCCTGAACCCCCAAAACCCCTGAGCTGGGAGAAGGCCCCGCCCCCTCCAGCAGAGAGAGGCCCCGCCTATAGGGGGCGCCCCTCGGCCCAGCCCCTCGGGATACAGGTCGCGCTTGTAGGAGCTGCTGATGTAGCGACCGCTTTCCGTCTTGATCTTCTTCTTGTCCTCCTGTCCCGACTGTCCCACAAACCGCTTCTTCTTCCGGTCCCTGAGGAGAGAGGTTGGGGGGCTGTTGTGGGCAGAGGGGGCCTGGGGCGGCCTGCTCCCTCCCTGACCCTCACTGGGATGCTGGAGGACTGCAGAAAAGCAGCGTGGCCGTGGCTGGCATGCAGTAGGTGCTCCATGAAGGCCTGTCCTCGGCCCCTCCTCACCTTTCCCTGGTAGCCCAGGTCTCAAAGGCAGTGTGTGGGAGTCCCTGGGAACTATGGGGGCCCTGGTCAGGCCATTTCTAGGCTCTGAACAGGGGTGGGGTAGGGTTCACCATCCTCATTGTGTGATGCCATGGGGACCAGATGAGGGGTCACAGGTCGTCATTTGTGTTGTGCCGGATCAATGAGGGGGTGGGGTCAAAGGGGAGTCAGGACAGGCCAGGGTCACGTGGCAGACAGGTGGGCATGGAAGGGCTTCACTCACCACTTGAGCTGCTGGCGGCCCCGGGTCAGGTTCTGGGTCTCGTCCCCCATCAGGTCCAGGACGGCGCCCGCCACCTGCTGCTCAAAGACGCCCCCGTCCCCACCAACGCTCAGGCTGCAGAGGGGAGAGGGGAGCCACACAGGGTTGATGGGACCCATTAGGTCCCACCTGCCACACACACACACACACACACACACACACTTATATACCACACATACACATGCACATATATACAACACACATGCACACATATAAAAACCACACATGTATATACACCACACACAACACACACACACCCCCCAGCTGGCCGCTCACCCCCGCTCGCTGTCGAAGTCCTTGGGCCGATAGGGGACGTAGAAGTCCTGGTTGCGCTGCCGGGCCTCCTCCTTCCGCCTCTTGGCTCCCCGCTCGGGGCCTGGCTGCTGCCGCTTCCGGCCCACGACCTCCGTGAAGACGTCCTGCAGACAAGGCCAGTCACACTGCAGCCCCGGGAGCCCGCTGCCCCCAGCTCGTCTGGCTTGGGGCTGCCATTTCCTCCTCTGCACGTGCAGCTCACCCACCTCAGGCACCAGCAGGGCAGGACAGAGGGGGGTTGGGGGGCTGAGGTGCCAACCAAGGAGGGACCCACATTCCATCCCAGCTTAACCCCCCAGGCTGTGTGACCGGCAAGGCCCTGCCCCTCTGGGCCTGGCCCTCTCTGTGTGTTAGGGACTAGTCCAGGAGTTTTCAGCTGTTGGGTTTTGTCTACCGAATCCCCATCCAAATCCAATGTAAGAGGGGTGCACAGCAGGCCCAGGGCCCGCCGCCAGGGGAACAGGACGCCTCTGCGGTCCCCCGGCCCGGCCCCTGGCACGAGGCCCGCTCCTGAGCCAGCCCAGACCCCGGTCCGGGTGGGCGTGTACCTCCACGCTCTCTGCCGCCGCCTCTTCCTCCTCCTCCCCAGGCTGCTCCGCCTGCCGCACCGGGCAGCCCCGGGCTGTGGCGGCCAGGCCCTCCTGCCGCTCCTGCCGCCCCTGCTGGAAGCTGGCGATGGCCTTGCAGTCCTTCTGCCGCTTGGCCCGCATCACCTGGCTGCTCAGGTCCCGGCTGGAGGCGTTGATCTCAAAGATGGTCTGTGGAGGGGACCCCGAGTCCTTCACCCACTGGCCTCTCCTCCCCGCAACTCCTCCCTCACCGCCTGGTGGGCTCCCTATGGCACCCCCCCCAAGTCCTTCCAGCCCTTCCGGCTGGGCGCTCATTATCAGGGAGCCCAGGCCCAGCTGGCTCTGAAACCAGTGCTCTCAACCATGACCCTCCAGACCCTTCTCTCGGAGGCTGGCTGCCTGGCAGGCTTGTAACCCTCGGTACAAAATGGGGTGCTCAGAGGGAGTCCACAGATGAAAGGTGATGAAAAGCCAGCTCCTCGGGCCTCTACCAGGCCGAGGGCAAGTCACTCCTGTGAGCCTCAGTCTACCCATTAGTAAGTGGAAGGAAATGGCTGCCATACAGGAACCTGCTGTGGACCAGCAGGGATGGTTCCAGAACAAGGGGCGTCTCTAGAGATACAGTTTCAGAAGCTGTGAGCTCAGAGGAATCCCTGCTGGGCCAGGCGCTCCATCAGCCCCTGCCCTCACTCACCGCCCGCGAGCGGTACTGCTTGATGCTGTCCACCAGCCTCAGCCGCTGCAGCTCCTCCTCCTGGAAGCGGGAGCCTGGCAGGGAGAGAGGCGTGAGGCCAGGGCCGGCTCTGCAGGGCCTGCCCACCACCCCACCCCCTGCCCTGCCCTGCCCTGCCCTGCGCGGGGACTCACTGAAGAGGGGGTGCAGGCCCAGCCCCGCGAGGTCCAGCTCCTTGGCCCGCTTGATGGACTCGGGCGAGGGCGCGGGCCGCGAGCGCACGTACTGCTGCTGCGCGTTGTCGGCCACGCGGCCCAGGCCCCGCAGCTCCAGCGACGCCTCCAGGCTGCTCCGCAGGCCGCAGTCCTCGTCGTCCACCACGCTCTGGGGCACGCGGCCCAGCACGCCGTCCGCGCCGACCGCACCTGCCGCCCCACGCGGAGCCCCGTCACAGGCCGCCGCCGGGCCCCCTGCCCGCAGCCCGGCCTCCACACTGGCCCCGAGTCACAGTTATCCCCGTGGTGGCCGGTGTGCCACATGGTTAGGCCCACGACGGTCGCATCTGTACTAAACGCGTACAGGACTTTGTCGTCATTCCTTAAGCCGGACAGTATAACACCTATTTACGTGGCGTTCGCGTTATACTACTATACGTAATCTAGGAATGACTTAATGTTAGGGAGGATGCGTGTAGGTTACACGCAAATATGTCGTTTACTATAAGGAACGTAAGCATCGTGGAGTATTGTATCTGAGGGGTCCTGGAACCAATCCACCGTGGATACCGAGGGATGACGTACGGGGATCTCCTCCTGGGCTCAGATCCAGCCCCGCCCCTACCAAAGGGGACAGCTTTGCCCCTCGCCCACATGAAAAGCTCCCCGGAGGACCTCGGCCCCGCCCGGCCTCCACTCACCCGAGGGCTCCTCGTGGGGGCGGGCGAGGGTGAGGGCGCGGCCCAGGAACAGGTGCAGGTCCAGCAGGTAGGGGACCTCGTCTGGGGCCACCAAGGAGTAGGCCGTGCCGCTCCGACCAGCCCGGGCCACACGACCTGCGGAAGGAGGTGGTCAAGTTTCAGCAAAGGATAGTCCCCACAGCCCTGCGGGCTCCTCTCCCACTGCCCACCCTGGGGGTGCACAGGGCCCGGGAGAGAAGCCCACAGGACAGTGTTACCGAGAGGACTTTGGGGAGGAGGGGGCTGAGGGGCCACGTCATCCGGGAGCATGACAGAGTCCAGAGTAATCGTGCCGGCCCACCCCCACCAGGCCCTCACTTACAGGTAAAGCCCTGGGCCGGTTTCCCCACCTGCAGGGGAAGGCGGGAGTCCAGCCTGCGCCCTCGGCCCGCACGGGGCTCCTTACCCACGCGGTGCAGGAAGAGCTTGCCCTTGGCCGGGAAGCTGAAGTTGATGACGTTGTCCAGCAGCGGGATGTCCAGGCCCCGGGCCGCCAGGTCCGTCACGATGAGGGCGGAGCACTTGCCGTGGATGAACTTGGCCAGGTTGATCTTGCGGGCCGTCTGGTCCAGGGCACTGTAGATGTGGGCGCAGCTCACCCGCTGGGCTGTCAGCAGCTGCTCGGAGCCGGGAGGGGAGGGGAGGGGAGGAGAGGGAAGAGGGATGAGACTGGTGGCAGGAGAGGGGTCCGGGCCACGGCGGGATACCATGACCTGGTGAAAGCCTCATCCCGACTCGCCCACTAACAAGCTGCATGACTTTGGGCAAGGCCCGTGCCTTCGTTTTCCTGTCTACAGAATGGGGAGAATCGTTCCTTCTCCGTTATAAGGATTAAATGAGTTGGTATTAAATGAGCTGAGAACGCGGCCCAGAACACAGGAAGCACAAAGAGAGTGTGAACTGCTCTGTGAGAGTTACTGTTTCAGTCTCATTCATCAGGGGCCCCAGCAGCTGCAGGCGAGGAGGAAGCTGTTAAATGTCTGACAAGTTAATGAAACCAGCGAAGTGTGTCCTCAGAAAACAGAGCCCAGGTGTGGCTGACCAAGGAAGGGGCCCCAGCAGCCTCTGGGGCACGGGACCCCCGTGCTGTCAGGTGGAAAAACTCATCACGTTGCTCATGACGTAAACTTAGGGCACCTTACATAGCTCACTGCACGCAGGCTACGCCTCATTTTTAAAAAATGAAACTTACGGGAAATTTATACAAAAGTGATAGCACCGCTGGGGAAATACTTCAAAATAACCTGGGTGGAGGGGGCAGTAACAGATGAGTCAAGACTGGCCATGAGTTGGTAACTGAGTACCTGGCAGTTCATTCAAGTATTGAGGCCTGGCCAGGCCCGTGTCCTGCTCTGGTGCTGCCCTCTGGTGTCTGTACGTGGAACTGCACCCCCAAGCTAAGGAAGGTGCAGGTCCCAGGAGGTGTGTTCCTCACCAGCCAGGCCTCACCTCACTGAGGTACTCTGCGTGGTGCTTCGTGGCCACAAACACCACCGTCTGGTCCTGGGGCCGCACCACGTTGCGCAGCAGGTGGAGGAGCACGGCGGCCTTGGTGTCCTCCCGCACGAGGAAGAAGGAGGTCTGCAGGGAGAGGGGCCGTGAGGGTGTGGCTCTCAGGGCCCCGGACAGGCCAGGGGCACAGGCAGACCCTCACCTTGAGCTGCTCGTTGAGTTTGGCGTCCACATCTAGCCGAATGAGCACGGGCTCCGTGAGGCCTGAGTGGGCACAGGGGGGAGTGGGGCGTTGAGTCACTGGAGGACGAGGCCCGGCCCAGGCCCCGCTCCGAGCTCACTCACCGGCCCGGGCGAACTCCACCAGCATTTTGGGCAGTGTGGCAGAGAACAGGAGCGTCTGGTGGCCCCCCGGGAGGCGGCTGATGATTTCCTGCAGCTGCTCTGCAAACCCCATTTCAAAGAGCCTGGGAGGGCGGAGGGCAGAGGAGGGCAGGAGAGGGGCTTCCTCCAGTGAGTTCCCAACTTCAGCCATCCTCGCCCCCACCACATCCTCCCGTGTGGTCAGTGTTTGCCTCGCGTTTTCTCTATCCGACTTCACGCTAAGCAATAATGACCTTGAAATCTTGGGTCTGATCTGTTTCCTACATATTTGCATTGAAATAAGTGACAGCAGCCCTCGCTCTGGGTCAGGGGCCGTCTGAGTGCTTTACAAAGATCAGCCCCTGCGTCCTCACGGCATTCTGGGAGGCCCGTGCTATTTTATCCCCACGCTGTGGGCCCCCGAGACCCTCAGTGATGTGTCCAAGGTCACGGAGCTGGGATTTGGTCCCGCCTGTGTTCTCCGCCTGGTGCTACTTTTCCTAACTCTGGTCCGGTGCACAGGTCTCTCCTGGCAGAGCCAATCCTCCCAGGCAGACCACCTCGCTCTGGTCTCCCAGCCCCGAGCCGCCCGGACGCCGCGGGGGGTGCACCGGCAGCCTCACCTGTCGGCCTCGTCAAACACCACGTACTCCACACTCTGCAGCTTCAGGTTCATCTCCACGGCCACGTGCATCAGGCGGCCAGGGGTGGCGATGATGCTGGGAGGGGCATGCAGGCAGGTCACCCAGGGCCCCCAGCAGAGCTTCCCCCTCTCCCCAGACGCTGGCCTCCTGGGAGGGGACCCCAGAGCATTATCCCCAATGCAGACTCACATGTCAGGGTTCTCGTGCAGGGCTGAAAACTGGTCCTCCATCCTTGGGGGAAGGGGAGGTGTCAGCGCCATAGAGCAGGTCTCCCAGGCCAAATACCCGGTGCGTCCCACTCCCTAACCCCGGACTTGCAACTGGGGAAAGGCTATTGCTGACATCCGAGGCAAAAGCATTGCCCTCACAAGAGGTACAAGTTCAAACGCACAAAAGGACTGAGACAACAAAGAGATCCCCGCAGAATGGGCTCAGCCTCCGGACCCACCTCACTCTCTAGCTCCAGAGGCAACCAAGTTGCCTTTCACCCACAGCCACCTGGCAACTAACCCTGGACCTGCCAGCTGTACCTCGAGTCCAGTTTCTGGGATCTCTCTGTCCTTAGTCTTAAACCTTTTGAGCACACACATCCCTACCTTCAGTCTTCCTCTGAAACACCCTTGGGACACCTATAGGAGCCAGAGTTCTGGGCCAGGCCTCGCCTGGGAGCATTGCTCACAATCACTAACTAGAGATGACAGATTATAATGTGGGCAAAGAGCACTGGTCAGCAAAACACTCAGAACTGAGTGACACTGGGAATCAGGAAGGGGCTGCCCCGTGAGGGAGGCATGTGGAACGGGGAGGGGGTGGGGACTCGAGTTCTCCTCTTAGTGGTTCTACCAGACCACGGCATGGCTCTGGCCCATCACCTCCTCACATGCTCCTCTGTCAGTCAGGTGTGATGCCTGCCCCCTCAGAAGGATGGTGCCAGCACATCAGGAAGAACACATTTTGTAAATCTGAGCTATCACAAACACGCTGTGATTTCTGCAGATCCTGCTTTAAACAGCCCACGCTTCCCCACGTTACACACACACTGAACTGCCGCGTGGGTGACCGATGCCGCCAGCTGTCTCTCAGGGGCCCCGGGACCTTTGCGGTGCTCGTGTGGGATGTTCCTTCTCGCATTTTACTGCGTGTTTCCCCTATTCTTCCCAAATATCGGTCTTATTTTCCAGAACGTGCCAAGAACCTGCTATTGCTAAGAAGCCACCCAGGCTCCCTCCCTCTGATACCCCGGAGGCACGGGGCGCGCACAGGGATAGGGGTGTGGGTGACCGTGGCCGGGGCAAGAGGGTTCTTACTTGTCCCCACCCAGGATCAGGGCAGTCTTGAGGCCGGTGAACTTGCCCAGCTGTGGGGAGAGACAGAGAGAGATTGGGGGACGGTAAGGGGGAGGAGACTCCGCCCACTCAGGCCTCCCCACTGGGGCTCAGCCTGCCTCTCCCTGCCCCCCCCCCTCACCTCCCCTCTCCCCAACCCCGACACACCTCCTTGGTGAACTTCATGGTCTGCAGGGCCAGCTCCCGGGTGGGCGAGAGGATGAGGGCCCGGGCCCCCGTCTGGGCGCTGCGGGCCTTGAGCCGCTCGAACATGGGGATAAGGAAGCAGGCTGTCTTGCCACTGCCCGTCCGGGCCATGGCCACCATGTCTTTGCCATCCAGGATTACCGGGATGGTCTGGAGATGAATGGGTGGGGGAGGAGAGGGGAGGGGTCAGCTTCCACACCAGAGCTTCGGGTTCCCAGTGGAACTAGGGGACCTCAGTGAGTGGAAGGGGCCCGGCGCCCGGCCCTGATCCCATTTTTGCCAAAGCATGTTGTTTGCACACCTCCGGGGACGGGCAGCTCACCACCCGCAACTCTTTCCACGGTGTGAACATCCTTCTGCAGATTAAGCCAGGCTCTACCCTCCCTGACTGCTGTGCCTCACTGCGCAGCCTCAGCAAGGAACAGCCTTAAATGGCAAAGAGGCACGGGGTCCCGTCTCTTCTCTGCTGGGCCCACCTGTGACACAGGCAGCTTGTGGGGCTTCAGAATAAGAGGGACGGTGGATGTGACAGCTGGGACAAGGGATGTCCGTCAAGAGGCTGAGAGAAGGCCACGTCCCTCATCCCCTCCTTCCAACCCGCCGGCCCTGCCCGCCGCGTACCTTCCTCTGGATGGGTGTTGGCACCTTGTAGCCTTTCTTCATGGTGCCTTTGAACACGGGGTAGCTCAGGCCTGGGAGAGACACGGGAGTGACGGGGTGGGGGGAGCCCCCACGCGCCCGACTACTGCACCTCTCCCCCTCTGCTCTGAAATGCTACTGCCGTGCACTAAGTCCCCAGATGTCTTTGCCTGTTCCTGCACCGGCATCGCCCGAGGCCTGCTCTGACTGTTCTCGCATTGGGTCAGGCCCTGCTGGCTCTGAGACAGTATCTGCTGCCTCAGTTTGCCCAATACCTGCCAGCGCTGGGCCCAAAGCAGAGCTCAGAGGGCATGGTGACCCCCTGCTGCTACCCACCCACTCACCCACTTCCCCAGATGCCTGGAGCACCCACCCATGGACTGGAAGCCTCCCGACTTCTTCTTCTTCTTGTTCTGGGCTCGCACCATCTCCCGCGTGTCCGGCTCCACGTCCGAGGTGCATTCCGAGGTGGGGAAGGTGGGCAGGGGTCTGCCAGGGCCCGGCTGGAGGGAGGAGCAGAGAGGCAGCATCACTCCGGGTGCCATCAGACCCTGGGCCAGGGAGGGGGGGCTGCCCTGTGGCCGGTCTGCACCCCATTCTAGTCAATGGCTTCCCCTGCCAGATCACGAGGCGTCCCTGCTGCAGGGCTCCCCTGTGACCGGGCCAGGACAGGGTGGAGGGGCAGAGAGCGGGCTCTGCGGACACACAGCCTGGTTTCAATCCCAACTCTGTCTCTTAGCAGCTGGGAGACCTCACACGGGGACTTAATCTTCCCGGAGTCCGTGCTCCCACATCTGGGAAGCGAGTGACGAGAACATAAGCCTCACAGGGTGTTGGGAAGACTAAGCAGGTAAGCGCGAAGCTCAGAACAGTGCCCAGCACAGACATGGTGATGTTGTCATCCTCCTCTTCCTCCTTCTCCTTCCTCTCCCTCCTCTTCCTCCTGGCCTGTCATTCTCAGCCCCGGAAATTCACTCTAGAGAGCCCATCGCAAGTAGACTTTTCCGAGCTGCCCTGCCCTCCTCTCCTTAATCCCCTTCTGACCCATCACCCTTACCCAACTCCGGTCTCTCTTGTGCCTGCTCCTCTCTGTCCATCCAAGACCCCTCTGTCTCGGCACAGCTAACCCGATGCCTCTTCTGGGGAGCCCTCTCAGACAACAGGGCTGTCCCTTCCTCTAAGAAATAACAGTACGGACCGCTAATCCACTCTAATGATTAGAGCTCACATGGCTCTTACCCAGTGCCATGTGCTGCTGCATCCACGTAAGTTAACCCACTTAATCCTATGACAGTGGTCGGCAAACCGCGGCTCGCGAGCCACATGCGGCTCTTTGGCCCCTTGAGTGTGGCTCTTCCACAAAATACCAGGTGCGGGCGCGCACATACAGTGCGATTGAAACTTTGTGGCCCATGCCCAGAAGTCGGTTTTCGGCCTGGGCGAGGCTATTTTGAAGAAGTGGCGTTAGAACACTCAAGGGGCCAAAGAGCGAGCTTTGGTTTGCCGACCACTGTCCTCCGACAACCTCAGGAAGTGGATACTATTACTTTGTCATCTTGCACAGAAGGAAACTGAGGCACCGAGGGGTAACATGAACCTGCCCAGATCACACAGACAGCAAGTGGAGGGTTGGAGTCTGTGTTCTTCCCACTGCGGCCCTCTACGGTCCCTGCACCATCCAGGCAGGGCTGCAGCCTGTCTATATAGTCTGTGAGCTAAGAATGGTCACGCACATTTCAAAAAAAAAATCAAACAAAAAAGACAGTGACCTTATAAGGCCTTACAAAGCCCAAAATATGTACCACGTGGTCCCTGGAGGGAAAGTTTGCCAATCCCTGTTCTAGGCACATAACTAAGTCCTGGAACACCTCAGAGTCCACATTCTACGGCACGACAGAGCACATAAACATGCTCTCCAATCCTTCCCATGGTCTGTGAGGCACAGATGGAAACTTCTGTCTTCTACCGATGTGGTCAGAGAGGCTAAGCAACTTCTTCACCATCCCACAGCCTGTACAGGGTTGGGCCAGATTGTGAACACAGGGCTGAGCCAGAGCAGAGCCCTAATCTGAACCACATGCATGGGGTCCTCTTTGGCACTTAATACTCTGACCTCCTGTTCATTGTCTTTAGCAGTGTCTCCACATTTATAGAGCACCTACTGTGTGCCAGGCATTAGCTAGGCCGGGGAAACAGTGGGATAAAAATCTGGTCCCTTGCCGAAACCGGTTTGGCTCAGTGGTAGAGCGTCGGTCTGCGGACTGAAGGATCCCAGGTTCGATTCCGGTCAGGGGCATGTACATTGGTTGCAGGCACATCCCCGGAGGGGGTGTGCAAAAGGCAGCTGGTCAATGTTTCTCTCTCATCGACGTTTCTAGCTCTCTGTCTCTCTCTCCCTTCCACTCTGTAAAAAAATCAATAAAAAATAAAATAAAATAAAATAAATCTGGTCCCTGCCTTGGAGAAGTGCAGGCCTCTCTTCCCATACACACTCACTCATTCTTACCCAAAGCTATTCTGTGCCAGGCACCGGCTGGGCACAGTGCTGTGGGAAATAATGAGCTACTGCCCGCCCTTCCCATTTGCAATACTGTTGGCATTCAGCAGTGGAAACAGCACAGGCTCTGAAACCAGACAGTCCCAGGGTTTGAATCCCGGCTCTCCCACTCACAAACTGCGAGGTTTTGGCCCAGTTCTTTTACCAATCTAGGCCTCAGTTTTCTCCTCTGGAAAGTGGGATGTCAATACACAGCTCACGGGGTGGTGTGATGACTAAATGACAAGGCTAGTAAAGCTCTTCGCACGGAGCCTGGCACATAGTAGGCGGTCAACAAACCCAAGTTTAATTTATGACTATTAATTTCCCAAAGGTTTGGGGGGATCACTGTGCCCGGCCGCCCCTTCATTCAACCTCTCAAGAATCCCCTACACTCTCCAAGTCAGAGCTTCAGCACCTGCACTTTTCATTGGACGAATGGGAACTAGGGCCCGCCCCCTGAGTAGGAAGTAGCCAATGAGAAGCGGGCAAACAAAGAGCCGACCTGGCAGGCCCGCAGGCCGCAGCCTTAGGGACGCGGAGGCTCAGGCCGTCAGGACCCGGGTCCGACCCGCGGTCCTGGCCCCCGATCTCCGGCCAGCAGACCTCTTCCCACCCTCGGTGGTGCCCACTCCTCAGCTGGGGGAACCTGCGGTCGCAGGGCGCCCACGGGGCCGGGCGTCAGGCTCCAGCGTGGATCCCAGCCCCGCGCTCCCACCTTTTGCGCCCGGGTGTCATCTTCCGCCTGGACCTCGAACTCGCCGTCCTCCGAGTCGCTGCTGCGGGCGTGGGAGACCGCGTCCCGGCGCTTCCGGAGCCCCTTCTTCTTCCTCCGTTGGGCCATGGCAGGTCGGGACCGCGGTCGGGCCGCCGGGCGCGTCCCAGCAGCCATGCGGACCCGGCGCCGGAGAACGGAAGGGGCGGAGCCAGCGGGAACGTACCACTGCGCGGCGGGGGCGGGGGTGAAGGCGGGGAACGGGGCACGGTGTCTGCCCTGCACGGGCCGCGCTCCCCCCCTGCCGCAGCCCCAGAGGCTGGGCGCGTACACAGTGCTCCCCTGCCCCGCGCGAGAGGCCCCGCTCCAAGGCTGTGGGGAACTCGGGGTGTCCGGACCTGGGCGCCCCCCCCTGGGTGCGAATGGTGCCGGCCGCCGGCCGCCGGCTGGTTGCTGCGGGTGGGCGCGCGGAGCGCACGTCGCCAGGGCCTGGCGGTCCCCGGGAGTCGGTCCGCGCGGTGCTCGGGGCGGGGACCCGGGGCGACCTAAGCGGCCGGGGTTCCAGGATTCCGGGCCCCGGATAAACGGATCCCGAATGCACCGCGCGCCGCGGGTGCCCGGGCGCCCCCACAGAAGAGTCCAGCCCATGGAGAAGGGCCGCCGAAGGTTGTAGCCGACCTCCAGGAGCCAAGATACTCGGTAAGGAATAACTCAAAAATGCAGGGTCGCCCAACTCCTGACACAGACAATAGTGCGGTAAAGGCCGTGGGGCGGGGCGGGGGCGGAGTGGAGGGGACAATGCAGGGGTGTAGGGGGGGAAGTATTGTAATACTTTCCACAATAATGATAAACTTAAAAAAATAAAAGAATGCAGGATCCTCGGACATTAATTTGGAGATGGGGTATGTGGGGCAGTTGGGGGGGGGGCGTGACCCCCCTGTAGTAGAATGGTTAAGTGCACAAGCCCTGGACTCCTGCCAGGTTCACATTTTGCTTCCTCTGTTTTGGCTTTCTAGGTGTGACTGACACATGTGACGTCACCGTGTGAAGCCTCAGTTTTGTCATCTGTAGACATAAACCCGCTTCACGGAACTGATGAGAGGGTTCAGGGAGACAGTGCTTCTGAAGCTGTTTGCAGGAGGTAGGCGTGAGAGTGAAACTGGGTATTTCCTGCCCCGTAAATATATATATATATAGGACTCAGAGGCCTGGCCTGCCTTCCCCGCCCACCACAGTTTGGTTTGTGGTTGGTGCCAAAATGGACACAAGCCCCATCATCCCTCCTTCATCCCTCTAGCATTCTGTAAATATTTATCCAGCACACACTGTATGCTAGGAATGCATATTCACTCAGTAGCAGCGCCCTCTCCCCATCAAAAAAATCCAACACATTTCCGAAATGTCCCCCGAGGTCGGCAGTCACCCTTTGAGGAGGACCGCTTGACCCTTTTGCCCTTGGGATGGGGACTAAAGAGACTACCAGTCTTTCTCCAATGGCACTGCTGATGACAGAGGGATGGCACCCTGACCCCCTTTCTCAGGGAGCTCTGGAGGCATGGCCTGCTGGGCAGCGCATGCCTGCGGTCACCCGGGACCATGGGCAGCATGAGGACCCCTGCGGAGCGGGCCGTCGGTGGGATGCAGACCCTCCACCGTCAGCACCGATGCCGGGGCGGCTATCAGGTCAAGGCCAGGGCGTCGTACGTGGACGAGACCTTGTTTGGCAGCCCTTCGGGCACCCGGCCCGCACCGCCAGACTTTGACCCACCCTGGGTGGAGAAGGCCGACAGGACCAAAGGAGTGGGCAGAGCGGCTCCACGGGCTTCGGGGGCCAGTGGGAGCTGTGGGACCCCCTCCTCCAGGGGCAGCACCCCGACCCTCACGCCAAGGAAGAAGAACAAATACAGGTAACGGCACGGGGAGACGCACTCCTGCACTCGGCATTGCCACCGAGATTCCTCTTAGAGCCCCGCTGGTCACATGCTGTGTGACCCTGGGCAAGCCCCTTGCCCTCTCTGAGCTATAATTTCCACCTGTGGAAAATGGATTTAGTGGTTTTACTGAGAGGATTAAATGAGATGAGGTGTGTACTGTGCTGGGCACAGTAACCTGACCCTTAAGGAAGCTTTTGGTAAATAATGGTGAGGCTGGCATCTGAGGTCCAGAGAGGTGGGGATTGGCCCAAGAGTACAGAGCAGTTTGCATAAGATTATTGGTGTGGTTGATCCATGAAATGACATAGATTTGCTGGTTTCAGATTTCATTTTGAAAAGATTTCTTGCTGCATTTTCATGAACAAGTTAGAAAACCAGGAGCTGATGCTACTGGTTATTATCAGATTAGAGTTAGGTTATTGGGATTATTTCAGATTAATGTCATCCGGAAGGAGGTATCTAGTAGTGGATCTCAGGGTTCCTTCGTGTTTGGACAAAGACACAGGAGACTGGTGTTGTGTTTTGATTATGGCTGCCATAACAAAATACCATAGACTTAGGGGGCTTACATAACCGGGGCTCAAACTATCGTTGGGATTATTTCTTCATTTTAGTGCAGCTTTCCCTCACACGTTACAGGTAAGATGCCACCATCTGCTTTGCCCTTACATCCGCCAGCTTTTCAAGGTCAGGAGGCAGAAAAACATCTTTCCTAGTAGTTTCAGCAAAGGTCTTAAGGCAGACTCTGATTGGACAGAATGGACCAGATGACCATTCCTGAGCCAATCAGTGTGGCCAGAGGAGTGAAATATGCAAATTGACCAGGCCTGGGGCACATGCCAAGGAATAGGGGGACTGGATGCTAGGTAGAGGCAAAATAGCAGAGATGGAGGTAGTGGTTCATGAAAGGGCTGTGGCCTCACTGGGTGCCAGGATGGGAGACAGGGACTTCGGAGGATCTACTGGCAACTCTCTCTACTGCTGCAGGTGCCTGGTGGGGGTGGGGTGGGGTGGGGTGGGTGTTCAGGTTGTAAGGTTTATTCACTCACTTCGTTTCCCTTCCCTTTGCCAGACTGATCAGCCACACTCCTTCTTACTGTGATGAGTCACTATTTGGCTCCCGACCCGTGGGCGCCTGCTGGGAGGCCCCGTGGATGGTGAAGGGGGGTGCTTCAAAACTCCACACGCTCTTCTGGACACCCCCAGCCACCCCGAGGGGCCACCCGCCCCACCCCAGGGAGACCCCAGAGCGCACCGTTCACCCGTCCGCTCCCACGAAGATAGAGCCCAGGGAGGGGTCCGAGGCTGAGAAGGTGTCCACGGGTGGATTAGACCCTCAACGCTCTCCGAGGCGGGAGCGTGCCCGTTCCCTCACCCACCTGAGTGCCCGCAGCACTGGCCGCCCGCCCACCAGCGGCCCCCACGCGAGTGGGCCTCGGGTTCCCAGGCCTTCGCCCTCGGGGGTGACCTTCCGGAGCCCGCTGGTGACTCCCCGGGCTCGGGCAGTCAGCGCTTCAGTGCCAGCGACGTGCCAGCGAGGGAGTGCAGTCCCGAGACCAAAGCCCCCTTGGAAATGAGGTTCCCGGTCCTTTCATCAGGTTTGCCCTTGGGGGTCACAGCAAGGGGAGGAGTTTCAGAGGATAGTACGGGGGCGGAGGGGGCTTCTGGGGAGACCAGATGTCAGCGAGGCACTCTGGGTGGCAGGCATGGAGGGTGGTCAGGGACGCCCTCTGTCCTGACAACCTCTGGTTCCCTGCTGTCCCCACAACGTGGACTTGAGGGCCACCCCTTGAGATATCTGTTCTAGTCCTGTCTCGTCAGAGCCACATGCAGTATCAGTGCCAACCCAGGGATGCCCCCCCCCATCACTCCCACACATTGTCTTGCCGCCAAGTATGAATAAATGGTGGGTCGCCAATCTGGAGGGTTCTCTCCCCCCCACCCCACCCCCAACCTCCCTTCAAGCCAAACTTCCTGCTCACGATGAGTTTCCAGCCGAATCTGGAGGCCTCAGAGTTTTCCCTGGCTCGGTGTCTGGGTGATATGAGGGTGGACTTTTTATTTTAATGATCATGTATTTATTTTCACGTATTAAATGTGTCAGTAGCTCACCAAAGCCGTGGCTTAATAAATTTTTTTCCCTTAAAGGAAAAGCCGGTGTTAGGCCTGCGTTGGGTTAAGTAACGATACTGACACAGCAGGGAAGCCGCAGAAATCGTGACAGGCGAGTGGGGGCCTGAAGTCCCAGAACCCAGGCCTCCAGCCCCACTGGGGCCTCCTCCCGTCACCTTCAGCTGCTGCCACTAACCAGGGGGAGCTGCAGCTCAGCTCAGCTCAGCTCAGCTCCGGAAGAGCCCTCGGAATCTGGTTGGTGAGATTTTTCCAGAAAAGACGGGAAGCTGGATTTGTGTGTGAGGGTCCCCAATTTTTTTTTTTTTAAATACCTTAAATACCAGCAGTGAATTTTAAAAAGATACTTTGTCCAACTACCTGGGCACCACATAAAGCCTGTGGCGGCTGCTGGCCTGTGATCTTGGGGCTCTGAGCTCACACAGCACTGATGCGGGAGAGGCTGTGGGCCAATGGGCAGCCCCAGAGCGGGGCTGAGGGCAGGGCAGCCGGTGCTGCTGGAGCGCTGCCTGCCCTCACCCTCCCTTCCATGGGCAGCCCTGGACACCGCGTGTCCATCGTGGCCTTGGCAGCTTCCAGTCTGGGACCAAAGAGGAATGGTTAGTGCCGACACCCTGCATGCTCCCCTCCTGGGGACCGCGTTTACAGGCACGGACACGCATGGCCAACCACCCTGGGTCAAAGGCTTATTCACAGGAAGTGGTTGAAAATGGCTTTTAATTCTGAAAAAGGTAGGAGAGCCATGATGGCGGGGCTTCCTGGTCCCAGGGGCCTCCCGGCCGGCACTCTGGGGGGGGGGGCGGTGCAGGGGATCAGAGCAGGGCCGGGGGCAGGGCTCATTTCTTGCCCTTGCCCTTGCCCTTGCCCTTCTCGCCCTTGCCCTTGCCCTTGCCCCGTTTCTTCCTCTTGGACCGGAGCAGGGAGCGGACCAGGTAGCCCTTCCACACGGCCTGGATGAGCGTTGCCGCCTTCACCATGCGCATCATGTCCTGCTCGGCCTCCATCCTCTTCTTGGAGTTGATCTCCCGCTCCTCCCGGATCTGGGAGAACTCCTCCACCAGCACCTCATACCGCGTCTGCAGCTCCTCCAGCTGGATCTTCTCCTCCTTGTGGATGATGTCCAGCTCCTCGTACTCCTCCTGCGGAGGGAGGAAGGGAGGGCCGGTCAGTGGGCTCCCCTGGCATCGGGCGGCCTGCCCCACCCTCGGCACGCACCCCACCCTTCCCGCGGGGGCTTCCGGGCCAGCAAGGCCGCCTGCACGAGGCTCTCTGCCTCCGGGGCCCGGGAGAGAGTGCGAGGGGTGTGAGGTCCATCCTGGTGCGAGGTGGGACCCGGGAAAGATCACCGCTTGTGGTTGGCCAGACTGAGTCCAAGTCCCAGCTCAGCCACACCGTCCAAGCCTTCGTTTTTCCTCGTCCGAAACACGGTGGCAATTGCAAACGCAGGAGAGGGTGGGTGGGAGCCGTTTCCAGGATTAAGTGACACAGGACGACGGACACAATTGCTGGATGCGGTGCCAGACACGCGTGGGGAACGGAAAAAATGCAGGCGGCTGCCACTGAGGCCGTCCGTGTCACAAAGCTTGAGTGGGATTTCCTCAGGGAACTCAGTCCCACAGCTCTTCCTTATGTCTAACTCCAGCCCCTCCTGCTGTAGCTCACACCTCCCTCCCTCCCTCCCTCCCTCTCACGTTTGCTAGCCTCCCCAGGGTCCCCTCCCCGGAGCTCTCATGGTCGGACAGCCAGGCCCCGATTTGCCCTTCCCTGAGCAGCACGCTCCAGTGCCCACCAGGCTTCCTGGCCCCACAGCCAGGGCCGTGGGCCACCGAGGTTACCACGGAGCTGGTGGGGGGCTTGAGGGCACCCCATATCGTAAAGCACATCCTGCAGGCCAGACCCGGTGTGGGACACAAGCTTTGGTGACAGTGGTGCCTCACTGGCTGCGCGCTGCCCGACCTGGGGATGACCACCCCGCTGATCATGCAGAAATGGGCCCAGGAAGGCCACGCCCACAGCCTGTGAGTGACAGCGGAGAACCTCCAAGTGGCCACAGGCCTTTCTCACTGCCAGGCCCCAGCACCTGGCACGCGGCGGGCATGCAGAAGGAGCTTTCTGCGTGGCACAGGGACGTGGCGGAGGCAAGCTCACGCCCCAGTCCACTGGGGATGGCCCTGGCCCGGGTGCTGGCAGGAGCAGAGAGTACGGGATGTGGACGCTAGAGGGAGCCAGGGTCACTGGGCTGGTGAAGAGGCTCACAGCTTCTGGGTCCATCCCTTCCCACCCCTCGCTGCCCCAGGCCAGACAAATCCTGGTGCCCAGGGAAGGAGCAGGGAGGCCCGGAACTTGGCCAAGACCACAGACCATCCTGGGGCCTCTCTTCCCATCCCCACTCCTAGAGGATTGTGGGAAATACACTTGAGAGAGATTTATGCAGCAACCAATACCTGCTTTTCGGTCATCTCCGTGTCGTATTTCTGGATCCAGTTCTCGATTTCCGTCTCCACTTTATATTTCTTCTAAAAAAAGAAAAAATCCAGCTAGTATTTACAATTAAACAATGCCAAGCAGGCTCTGCACCAGCCGGCCCTGTGGTGGGTGCCTTCCATGCCCCGCCTATGGATCCACACGAGGTGAGTCCAACATTTCACAGTTGGGTAAACTGAGGGTCAGCCGTGCTCGCTCCCTTGCCCAAGGACATAGAGCTGGTGAGTGTCGGAGCTCCGTTTGAGGCCAGCAGTCTGGCTCCAGAACATTCTAAGCAGAGGGAGCCGCAGATGCAAAGACCCCGGGATGGGAGCAAGCTTGTGGTGTTTCTAGAACAGAGGTGTGGCTGGAATGGAGGGCCCCGGAGCGTGGTCCCTGGGAGGGCAGAGTGGGACGCTGCATGGCAGCGGGAGTGGCAGGAGGGGGCAGAGCTTGGGTTCTAGTGTAAGGGGGCGGGGAAGCTACTGGGTAGCTTTAGATGGGGTAGAGCAGTGTTTCCCAAACTTTTGACATATGTGCACCCCTCCTATAATTTCTGTAACGCTGAGTACCCCTCGTACTCATGAGAACGCAGAATTAGGCGCAGCTAAGCACGGTGCAGTGCGTATCCCCGCCACACTCCGGTGCTACGCGTACCCCCACCAAACTCTTCCCGTACCCCTAGGGGTACGCGTACCACACTTTGGGAAACACTGCGGTAGAGGGTCATGATCTAATTTTGCTTTTAAAAGAGATCAGCTCCGCCCTAGCTGGTTTGGCTCAGTGGATAGAGCATCAGCGTGAGGACTGAAGAGTCCTAGGTTCGATTCTGGTCAAGGGCACATGCCTGGGTCTCATTAGGGGACGTGCAGGAGGCGGCCAATCAATGATTCTCTCTCGTCGTTGATGTTTCTATCTCTCTTTCCCTCTCCCTCTCTGAAATCAATAAAGATTTTTAAAAAAAATATATTTTATTGATTTTGTACAGAGAGGAAGGGAGAGAGATAGAGAGTTAGAAACATCTATGAGAGAGAGTCATCGATCAGCTGCCTCTTGCACACCCCCTACTGGGGATATGCCCGCAACTAAGGTATATGCCCTTGACCAGAATCGAACCCGGGACCCTTCAGTCCCCAAGCCGATGCTCTATCCATTGAGCCAAACCGGTCTTGGCAATAAAGATATTTTTAATAAAAATAAATAAAAGCGATCAGCTCTCATCCATACAATGGAACGTTATTCAGCCATAAAAATGAATAAAGTACTGTTACAAGTTATAATACATCATGGATGAACCTTGAAAACATGATGCTGAGTGAAAGGAGCCAGACAAGAAAGGCCACAGGTTTTATGATTCTTTTTGTATGAAACGCCCGGAATAGGCAAGTCCCTAGAGACAGAGAGGAGGTCAGTGGTTTTAGGGTGCCAGGGAAGGGAAGGAGTGGGAGAAACTGCGTAAGGTGTGTGGGGGTTTATTTTAGAGTGACGGGTGTGGGGTTAATTTTGGAGCGATGGGTGTGGGGTTTATTTTGGAGCGATGGGTGTGGAGTTTTATTTTGGAGCGATGGAAATGTCTGGAACGAGACCGAGGCGGTGGCTGCACAGCACTGTGAGTGTGTTCAATGCCACTGAGCCGTTCGCTTTAAAACGATGAATTCACCTCAGTTTAAAAATAATAAACCAGCTCCCTCACCCTACAGAGCAAGAATTCTTAACTGGGCAGCATAGAGGGGCCTGTGCCACCCAAGGGTTGCCCACCAGTGTGGGTTTGATGGGGAGAGGCCCGGGGCTTCTGTCAGGTGCTCAGAAGAGTGAAGACACTAAAATAAAACAGGGAACAAGTATCAGAAAGGGTGCGCTTCGTCGGGAGAGGGACTTTGAAACCCACACGCGAGTGCGAAGTGGGCCTGGGGCCTGGCTGAGATGATGGAGAAGGCACGGGGGAATGGTATGTACTGAGCACCGATTCTGCACCAGCCCTCTGCCTGTCATCTCATTTAATTCTTGTTAAGACTGAGTCGATCACGTTCATTTTAAAGATGTGAAAACAGGCTCGGTAACTGGCCTGAGGCTCACATGCTCCTTGGGTTCCCTTGCCCGGTATTGACAGGTGGGTTCCATCATCCCCTCCGGGCTCGGCGGGGGGGGGAGGGGGGGGAGGGAGGGGGAAGGACGGGACGAAGGAACCTGGCTGAGATCTCGGAGGGGGCGTCCGGCAGCGGGATGGGCGCTGTCGCTGCCCCCTGGCCCTGTGCTGCACCCTCCTGCCTCCCAGGGGGCACCGGCTCCACCCTGGGCTTCCTGGTGGCTGGGGCAGCCCTGCCCTCTATGCCGGACCCTGCCCCCCGCTCGGTGCCCCCCCAGGGCACCTTCCGGAGCGCCTGCTCGGCCTCCCGGTTCTCCATGACCAGGCTGTGGAACTGCGAGCGCAGCTGCAGGATGTCCTGCTGGATCCTGGCCACGCGGGACTGTGAGGCCCGGTAGTCCGCCTTCTGCTGCTTCTCCGCCTCCTGCTTGGTGCGCGTCAGGCTGTTCTCCGAGAACTTGAGCACCTGGTGCAGGTGGTTCTTCAGCTCCTGGATCACAAAGTTCTCCTTCTCCACCTGGGCCCGGGAGAGGAGAGGCCGCCTCAGAACTCACGTGACCACGGCTCAGCGCAGGCGCTAGCCATTGCCGTGCCACCGCCTCGCCGAGTCCTGCCCCAGCGCCGTGGGCACAGGGACAGCCTGAAGCCAGACGAGGAAACTGAGGCTGAAGAGGCCAACTCATCTGTCCAGGCTGGTGCAGCTAAGCCAGCATTCGAAGCCAGGTCTGTCTGACCCGGAGCACGGGTTCTTGGCCACCCCCTTTATTTCCTGGCATGAATGGAGGGCAGGGGAGAGGGCTGGGACAGGGGAACACTCCTGCTGGGGGCACAGTGAGGGTGCCCAGTTGGCAGAGACACAGATGCAGGAAGGTGTGATAGACACGCCCCACAGGACAGCCACCTGCTGTCCCTGTGGGCCTGGCATGTCCCTGCCTTCAGTTGGTTCAAAAACAGGGACAGCCCTGGCCTTTTGGCTCAGTGGGTAGAGCATCGGCCTGTGGACTGAAGGTTCCCGGTGTGATTCCAGTCAAGGGCACATGCCTGGGTTGTGGGCTGGATCCCCAGTTAGGGGCGTGCAGGAGGCAGCCATCAGTGATGTTTCTATTCTCTCATCATTAATGTTTCTATCTCTCCCTCTCCCTTCCTCTCTGAAATCAATATATTTTTAAAAAATAGGGATGGGGTGGAGGACCGGGCTGTTTTATATTTAAACTCGAAAGGCTGATCCCAAGCCTTACCAATAACAGTCGGTTAACACATATTTTTCCTGTCATCTGTGTTACATACTATATTCTTACAAGAGAGTAAGCTAGACAGGAGGCAGTGTGGTTAAGAAAATCCTAAGGAAAGAAAACCCACGCATAAGTGGGCTTGTGCAGCCTCAAGCTGTATTGTTCATGGGCCAACTGCATTAACATGGGACCTATGATTTTTATTATTAGGTCCAGATCGTTTCCTTCCTTCCTTCCTTCCTTTTTTTTTTTTTTAATCTTTATTGTTGAAAGTATTACATATGTCTGTAGAGAGCGCCTGGGAAGGCAGGTGGGCATTCTTTAATTATTGTCAGCTGAACCCAGTGGCCTTGGCAAAGCCACACCCTGGAAACACGCTTTGCCAAAAGGCAAGGGTGTTGTCAGCTTGACCTTCATTTTGATATGTAAATCCATTTGTTTCCGGCTATAAAAAAAAAAAAAAGATATGTAAATCCAGTCTAGCACTGGGAATGCTCGGGCCCACCTAAGCTCCTTTATCTTAAGTTTTGGTGAAACTTCCTGGTTTGTGGGGGTAAAATAAACAGGTTGCCTAGGCTCTGGGTCACTGTCTCTCCACCAGAAGAGGGCAGCGGTCCCACTGGTCCCAGCTTTTTCCTTCCATTTTGTGTCTTGCTTTTTCTTTCATATTTCTCAATCTCCAGCCCCTCTACTCGAAGAACTGGATCATTCTCTTTCCATGCTGAACGCGGAAAAGAGAGGCCCTGCCATATATGACCCCTTTTTGGCCTCAAACCCCAACCCTGAGTGATCCGCCCCCTGCCCCTCTTTCCCCTTCCCTTCTGCTCACTGGCAGGTTTGGGTTCCTAGGTACACCCCCCCCCCCCCAACACACCCACACACACACACCCTGGAACAGGGGTCTGCAAACAAAGGCTCCCAGGCCAAATTGGGCTGCCTGCCTGTATTTGTAAATAAAGTTTTATTGGAACATAGACCATTTATTTATGGATTGCTTATGGCTGCTTTTACAGTAGGGATTCAGTTGAGTTCAGCAGTTGCAAGGGAGACAGGCCCTCCAAACATGAAGTGTTGACTGCGCAGCCCTTTGTGGAAAGTTTGCCTGCCCCTGGCCAGGAAGTCATCCGTGCCTCACCCGTCTGCCTCACGCCCTCTCGTTCTTCGGGTCTTGGTTTCACCGTCCTGGACCCTTTGGGTGTGAGTTCAGCTCTCCTATAACCCTCTCTTACAGCACCTCAGACCTACCCTTCATTGCATGTCTCCCAAATGTAATTAGCCTGGCCGGCGCACCTCAGTGGTTGAGCGTCAACTTATGAACCAGGAGGTCAGGGTTTGATTCCCAGTCAGGGCACAATCCTGGGCTCTGAGCTTGGTCCCCTACATGAGGCAGCAGATCCATAATTCTCATCATTGATGTTTCTATCTCTCTCTCCCTCTCCCTTCCTCTCTGAAATCAATTTAAAAATATATTTTTAAAAACCTGTAATTAAATCACTGGATCCAAGATGGCTGCTCGGGTAGGCACCTAGCCGCGCCGCACACAACAATTTCAACAAAATACAACTAAAATATAAAATGGACATCACCCAGAACTACAGGAAAGTTGACTGACTGGAAATTCTACAACAAGAAGCAAGGAGAAAACCAGAAGGAAGCGCGGAGGAGCTGGAAAAGCCTAAGGTACGGAGACACGCGGCGCGCGGAGAGGACGGAGCCGGAGAGGAGGGAGGCGGAGTGCCTGGCGGGCGTTCCCTGGCGGGAAGGAGATAAACGCTCCGACTGTGCTGGCCCCCATTCTGACTGCTCTGAACCCCAGGCCTAGGCCAGACCCCGGGGACCCAGGCTCACACAGAGGGAGCTGGGCTGAAAGGCTGGACCCCGGGGAAGAGGCGAAAGGAGGTCCCGGCGGCACCGCCCAGAGAAGGGACGGTTGGCTGTGCCGCGGGATTGCCTGGCGGGAAGGAGACAGGGGCTCCAGTCTGCTCTGAACGCCACCTCCAACTCCACTTCCAACTGAACTGAACCCCAGTTTCGGGCTCATTGGGGGAGAGACTAGACTGTTTGGCAGCAGGCGAAAATCGAGGGCGCCTTTCTCTCAGAGGCGCTTACAACAAGTACTGAAGGACCCTGAGTCTCAGGAGTCGCATAGGGCGGGGCTGACAGAAGTCAAAGCTGTAGGCTCCACCCTGAAACCCCGCCCCATCAGGAAAGCGGCCTCCGAAAATGCCTAAACCAAATAGATCACAAACGAAAGAAATGGAGGACAAAAAGCGACTGGATATAGAGTTCAAAACCACACTTATAAGGTTTTTCAAGAGTTTCCTAGAAAAGGCCGATAAAATAAATGAGACTTATGAGGATATGAAAAGGGATCAACAAGAAATAAAGAATACATTGTCTGAAATAAAAACTATTATACAGAGTCCTAAAAACAGAATAGAAGATCGCAAGAATCAAGTCAAAGATTTGGAACATAAAGAGCCAGAAGATACTCCTCCGCAGAAGCTAGAAGGCAAGAGAATCCAGAAAACTGAGAATCAAGTCAAAGATTTGGAACATAAAGAGCCAGAAGATACTCCTCTGCAGTCGCTAGAAGGCAAGAGAATCCAGAAAATTGAAGATGATGTAAGAAACCTCTGGGACAACTTCAAACGATCCAACATCAGAATTATGGGGGTCCCAGAAGATGAGAGAGAGCAAGATATCGAAAACATATTGAAAGAAATAGTGACAGAAAACTTCCCCCACCTGGGGAAAGAATTGGACTTACAAGTCCAGGAAGCACACAGAACTCCAAATAAAAGGAATCCAAAGAGGACCACACCAAGACAAATCATAATTAAGATTCCAAGAGCAAAAGACAAAGAGAGAATATTAAAAGCAGCAAGAGCTAGGCAGATAGTTACCTATAAAGGAGCACCTATACGATTGTCAGCTGACTTCTCAACAGAAACCATGCAGGCCAGACGGGAATGGCAAGAAATATTCAAGGTGATGAATAGTAAGAACCTACAGCCAAAGATAATCTATCCAGCAAAGCTATCACTCAAATTCGAAGGTCAGATAAAGAGCTTCACTAATAAAAAAAAGCTAAAGGAGTTCATCACCACCAAACCAGAATTATATGAATTGCTGAAGGGGGTTCTTTCAGAAGAGAAAGTAAATAAAGATAAAAATTATGAACAACAAATACGTAACTATCAACAAGTGAATCTAAAAACCAAGGAAATTAAAAAAAAATCTGATGAACAATATTAACTGTTGAATATAATAGAATCAGAGGTATGGAAGGGGAGTGAACTGATGATTCTTGGGGAAAAGGGGAGAAGGGGATGTGGGAAGAGACTGAACATAAACTGTGCACCTATGGATGAGGACAATGGGGGGTGGGGAAAGGGCAGAGGGTGGGGTGGGAAGGGACATTTGTATTAATATGAACAATAAAAATTAAGGAAAAAAATAAAATAAAAAAAAATAAAAACCTGTAATTAAATCAGCTCTTTAAGTCCTATCTTCCTTACTGTGAACTCCATGAGGCTGGGACCATATGGGCTTAATTATAAAACCTGGCCCTTCATAAGTACTCAAAACCATTTATTCATGGAATAAATGAATGAAAGCATCTACTTAAATCCCCGTGGGGGGAGGGGAACCCAAGCCAGGGGGTCGGGGCTCCCGGGGGGGCTCCTTCCAGAACCCACCCCGCACCCACGGGAAGCGGTACCTCCGCGGCCCTGTTCCGCATCCTCTCCGCCAGCTCGTTCTCCAGCGCGTCGATGACCTCCTGGTTCCGCATGTTCCGCTTGGTGATGTCCTGGATGAACTGGCCCTTGTCCCTGGCCTCCATGGGGCTGGTGAGCAGCTTCTCAAACAGGAAGCCGCGGAGCTCCACCAGGCTGTCCACGAAGCCCTGGGCTCCCGGGCCCCGGTCCGCCGCCCGCGCCCGCAGGAGCTGGGCCGCCTGCGGGTTGCCGAGCAGGAGCCGCAGGATGTTCTTGGTGGAGTCCCGGATCTGCCCCATGAGCGGCAGGAGGTTGGACTTCTGCAGCTCGATGGACAGGAGGAGGTCTCGGAACCAGGCCTCCTCCTCAAACTCCTCCTCGGCCTGCAGCTGCAGCTCCTCCTCCTGCAGGTAGCGGACCTTGTCCATGAGTACCTGGCACAGGTCCTCGTGCTCCCGCACCGCCCGGCACAGCTCCTCGCCCAGCAGGCCCTCCAGCTCCTCCAGGTTGGCTGCCACGGAGGACAGCAGCGTCACCAGCTCCACCTTTTGGATGGTCTCGTCCAGCACGGACAGGACCCTCTTGGTCTCGATGGTGGTGAGCTTGGTCTTCAGGGGGGTGAAGGGTTTTGGCGTGGAAGTTCCCTTTTTGGGCGACTCTGCTATCACCCTCATTTTGCTGACGTCCGGGCTCTGGTAGAGGGCGCCCACGGCCAGGATGTCTAGCGCCATGTTGCACGTAGCCTTCTCGGTCTCTGTGGGCCCTGGGAGACTTGGACAGACTGGACAGGTCTCCTGCCTCTGTTTTCCTGAAAAAGGAAGGGGTGCGCCGTGAGGAGAGCTGTGCAGAGGTCAACCAACCAAGCTGTAGGCGCTCTGCAGCTTGTGCACGGAACCCTCACCGATAGCGGTTGGTAGCTTTGTGACAGCGTCAGGGCCACGGGGGTAGGAGGGCCAACGTGTGGAGGTGGGACTTGGGCACAGGTGGCAGGCAGGGAACAACCAGGGATGTGGACAACATTCTGAGTATTTAAGTACAGAAAACTGGTAACACAGGTGATGGAGGAGTGGAGGGGTCAACCAGGGCAAGGGGAAGTCGCCCCTAGCCAGCCCCCCCAGCAGCAATGTTAGTGGCATGCCAAAACCGGTTTGGCTCAGTGAATAGAGGATTGGCCTGTAGACTGAGAGGTCCCAGGTTCGAATCCGGTCAAGGGCATGTACATTGGTCAATGCCGGCACATCCCCAGTAGGGGGTGTGCAGGAGGCAGCTGGTCGATGTTTCTCTCTCATCGATGATTCTAGCTCTCTATCCCTCTCCCTTCCTCTCTGTAAAAAATCAATAAAATATATTTTAAAAATGATAATAATAAAATTGTTGGTGGTGGGAAGCCACCCCAGGAGGAGGTGGGGAGCTTCGGGATCAGGGTCAGCCAGGAGAGGGAGAACCCCAGCCATTTCCTTTCCCGGAGAGGCTGCAGTTCCAGAGGGCCTGTAGCCACTGCCACCAACAGCCCAAAGCAAAGAGGGAGAAGTACTCTGGCTTCTCCCTTCATCCCACCCTCCAGTCCAACACCAGTGCCTCCCATTGGTCAAGCCCAGTGAGGAACCAGCTGACAAGGGAGCCTGGGCAAGGCAGCCTGATGGGGGAGGGTTGGGGAGGGGAGAACAGCCCAAGACACAGAGCAGAACAGGGACAGAGCAAACAGGACTGGGACCAGCACAGCCCACCTTGCGCTGGCTGGGTTAAGTCAGGGTGGGATGGACAATGACTTTGAAATGTATTTTTTTTAAAAAAATGGCTTTGCTACATGCAACCCTGGATCCCGGACTGAATTCTGAAAGGGAAACAAGGACATTAGTAAGAAAACTGGTGAAATCCAACTCAAGTGGACACTTTGGTCAATAGCGCTGCATCAGTGTTAGCGTCTTAGCTTGGACAAACATAACACGCTTACGTAAGATGTTAACAGTAGGGGGAGCCAGTGGAGGGCGGACGGGAATTTCTGTATTATCTTTGCAAGTTTTCTGGAAAGCTACAGCTGTTGCAGAATAAAACGCCTATTTATAAGACCTCTTCAGAAAAAAACCTATGGGGGCAACCAGAAATCAATAACTGACATCGCTGTGTGGCTTGATGGCTAAGAGCTCTCTCTGCTGCAGCCCCGTGTGGGCTCAGGTCCTTGCTGGCGGGCCCTGGGCTTTTATCTAATTCCCCTAAGCCCCGGCTTCATCGGCCATAAGACAGGGATCTTCAGCTTCTGGGGGATGTTTCTGGCACGGGGCCTGGACATTGGGAGTGCTCAATAAATAATAACTGATATTATTAGCCCAGGGAAACCAACCGAAACCCCAAGTCCAGGACTGCGATGATTTCCCAGTTAAGAGTCTCAGCCCCAATGGAGATCCAGAAGTCTCTGATGAACTTGGGCTCCCAGCATAAAGCACCACACCAAAGACAGACCTCCCCACCCCCCAACCCCCGCCATGTGCCCATCCCTCACCCTGTTCCTTCTTTTCTTTTTTGTAAAATATATTTTATTGATTTTTTACTGAGAGGAAGGGAGAGGTATAGAGAGTTAGAAACATTGATGAGAGAGAAACATCGATCAGCTGCCTCTTGCAAACCCCCCACTGGGGATGTGCCCGCAACCAAGATATATGCCCTTGACTGGAATCGAACCTGGGATCCTTCAGTCCACAGGCTGACGCTCTATCCACTGAGCCAAACCGGTTTCGGCACCTGCTCCTTCTTTATCCCTTGTCCTGATGATCAGCCATCCTAGTTGCTCCAGTCAGAAACCTAAGTGCCCCCCCCTTCCTTCCCCACACACACACGATCTGCCCTCACTTCCATCAGTGATCTCTCCTCGACAGCTCCCTCTTCCACATCCTCCCTTTCAGCAGCCACTCTGCCACCAGGGGCCTTATGATCTCTGGCTTAGATGATGAAAGAGCTGCTCAGCTGGTCCGCTCACATCTGCTGCTGCCCCCTGCAATAAAGATCATCCCTGTAGAGATCTAGTCTGGTCTTGACTGAGCCCCTGGGGACATGAAGGCGATGCCAAGCTCTGTCCTGCCAGAGCTTATGACCTGGTGTGGGAGCTGAAACATGCGTGCATGAAGGCCAACAACAAGAGGAGGAAGAGAATAGAGGTGCGGTCACAGAATAGGATGGGATCACGCCTGCCTTCGACACCAGACTGGGGACTTGATCTGGCAGGACTTTGGGATCCATTTTGACGGCAGGAAACGTGACAGGATAAAATCAGGTTTTTTTGAGAGAGACCTGTGGTATGGATGATTTATAGGGAAAGGACTGGTGGCCAGCTGGTAAGTTGAGATACTATAAACCTCCCACCGCAGGGCCTTTGCACATGCTGTTCCTTTTTCTTGCAATGCACCCCCCGCCCCTTCTCTTGCCAAGTTAACTCCTTATTCTCAGTTCCTGTGTCACTTCTTCAGCGAAGCCTCTCCCGGGCTTCCAGCCTTGGTTGAATTCTCATTTCAGGTTATCACAGTGCCAAGCCCACAGTGCCAAGCCCCTTGGTTGAATTCTCATTTCAGGTTATCACAGTGCCAAGCTCGCCTATACCGTGCAGGCCGGAAACACTGCCCTCCTTCTCGGCCTCCCTCACAGCGAGGGGCAGCTGGGGACACAGTTCACGCCCATGACAATCAGAAGAAGGAAACGGCAGGGCTTGAGGAGCCAAAGACAGCTCTGGGTTTGTGAGACGGGGAGAAAATTTCGGGGCCCTTGAGTCACTAGGGGAGCTGGGAGAGGCCGTGTAAACTCCGTGAGTTCCAGCAGCCACCACCGGAGCCCACCGTGGACAGGACTTCCTGGCCTTCCTGTGATCGTTTCCTCTTTGTCAGGCGACAGCCCCGTTTCCCTTTCAGGACTCAGATCCTCTCTCCCGCCGTGTGCAGTCCCGGTGGGGCTGCTGATCAGAGAGCCCTGCTTTCTTCCTCCGGGGAATTCCGAGGGCCACGCGGGCGGGCGGGAGACAGTGACGGCTGATGCCTGCTGGCATCACCCCCAGAACCCCCACAGCCGCGGTCCTCTCGGACTCCAGTTCTCCAGCTTTTCCGTCACCGTTCACCGTTTGCTTAGCCGGGACCAGTTTCTGTGGTTTGCGACCAAAGGACCCTAGCTGACAACGCCGTCTAGGCCACTGACTGCACAGGATGGAGCGGGCTCCAGGGATGTAAAGGCAAAGGAGGAGGAAGAGTAAACAGAGGGCAGGGGTGGGGATCAGAGAAATGACGAAAACAAGGATCAAGGTGGCCAGTTCAGCTGAACCGGTTTGGCTCAGTAGATAGAGCGTTGGCCTGGGGACTGAAGGGTCCCGGGTTTGATTCTGGGCAAGGGCATGTGCCTTGGTTGCGGGCACATCCCCGGTGGGGGATGTGCAGGAGGCAGCTGATTGATGTTTCTCTCTCTCTCTCTTTTTTCTTTTTTTAATTTTTAAAAATTATTATCTGTGTACATATCTTACCATTGCCCCCCCCTACATACAGATGTTTCTCTCTCATTGATGTTTCTAACTATCCCTCCCCTCTCCTCTCTGTAAAAAAAAAAAAAAAAAAATCAATAAAATATATATTTTTTAAAAAAGATAGCCAGTTCGGGTGGTGAGGCCGGGCCAGAGGGATCCCAGAAGCCTCAGGGAGCTGAGGACCAAATGGAGGAGAAAGTAAATTATATAAATTTCATCCCCACGCACTTTCTGCTTTTCCTTCAATGTCCTGAGTTCCTCTAAGGCTGTTCCTGAGGATAACTTTTAAAAATATATATATATATTTTATTGATTTTTTTACAGAGAGGAAGGGAGAGAGAGAGAGAGCTAGAAACATCGATGAGAGAGAGTCATCGATCAGCTGCCTCTTGCACGCCTCCTACTGGGGATGTGCCGCAACCAAGTACTTGCCCTTGACCAAAATCAAACCTGGGATCTTTCAGTCCTCAGGGCCACGCTCTATCCACTGAGCCAAACCGGTTTCGGCCTGAGAATAACCTTCTAAGGACAGCCAGGGACCGTCCTCTTGGGGGATGGAGGCTCTGTGGCCCTCAGCCACAGGATGAATGGGACCAAAACGGTTAATGAACGCACTTCTTCCCCCTCTTTCCCCCCCACCCCCCCAAACCTGCAGGCATAAATCAAAACGCCCAAATTCTTTGGGGATGGCGGCTGGAAATGCAACGTTACATGAAATGTTTCCAATTTGCTTTCTGCCAAATTACCTCTTTTGCTTTAAAGGGCAAACTTGTTTTCTTTGATTATGATGACGCCCATCAGTTCCTGACAGCTCATTTGGGCGAACAAGAAAAAGCCCGCGGAGCTGGGATGGGGGGATGCGCGTCTGACTGCGATGACAAGAATCACCAGAGAATCTCTTTTCCTTGAATTCTAATATGACCATTCCGTGTCCTTTTTTTTAATGCCACCAACCTTAATATTGAAATAATTTCCTACTTCGGCCTCTCCTTTGGAAATTCCTGCCCCGAGAGTTGAAGCGAGATTGCTAATGGGTGGGGAACTTTAATTGGATCTTCCCTTTATTTGTCATTAATTCTGCTGATGAACTTTATAAATGGAAATATATCTTTATCATGCAAATGATACCTCGGCTTCATTCAATAGGGGCTGGTTAGATATTTTATTACTTTCTCAGAACGTTTTGAAAGGGGAAAAAAAAAAGGTTTTGAGGTAAATTATATATATTTTTCCCCT